CAGCTGGAAAAGGTATGTGAGTCAGAGGGAGGGGGAGGAATTCAAAATTAATCCTCCTGGTACAACTTTGTGTGTGTGTGTGTGTATGTGTGTGTGTTTCTTCACTCAAACAAACTCTCTCTCAATTTGAGAGTTTGTTTGAGTAAAGAGAGGGAAGGGGGTAGGAGAGGCAGGGAGGGCAGCACGCCAGCTCGCTCGCCTCTATGTCCACAGCAGCCCGCCAGCAGAGGCGGGTCTTTTGCCTGCCTCTGCTGGTTGACTGCCGCTTTCTTTTGCCCGGCTGCCACTTTCTTTTGCCGGTCTCTGTGTCCACAGCAGCCCGCCAGCAGAGGCGGGTCTTTTGCTGCGGACACAGAGGCGGCAGCCACAGCCACAGAGGCGGACAAAAGAAAGCGGCAGCCGGGCAAAAGAAAGCGGCAGCCGGGCAAAAGAAAGTAGCAGCCCGCCAGCTATCCTGCCTGAGCTGGCGGGCTGCCGCTTTCTTTTGCCCAGCTGCCGCTTTCTTTCGCCCGCCTGTCAGAGCTCAGGCGGGCAAAAGAAAGAAAGCACTTTAGACAGTGGGGTATCGGGGGAGAGCAGAGAATGCTCTCTTCTCTCCACCAACACCCCACTGTCTAAAGCACTTTCTTTCACCCGCCTGTCAGAGCTCAGGCAGGCGAAAGAAAGAAAGCGCTTCAGACAGTGGGATATTGGGGGAGAGGACTGCCTCACCAGCCATAAACCTCACCACACATCACTGGCCTCAGTTCCAGTTTTCTGACCAAGTAATTGATTACTTTTTTTACTTGCCCTAAAATTAAGGTCCAGCCAAGAAAACAGTAAGTTTAAAACAGGTAAATGCAAATGCTTTGTTTTTCAAAAGGACAATTAATAGGGCATGAATTGTGATCATGACCCCCTCCCCCCAAAGGGGATATTAAAACATTTAATGGCAGACACTTACTGCCCTTATCTTGGATTGTTTCATAAAACTGCTAACTGATACTCTGAGTGTGCAAAATAGAGTATTAACTGTTGGGGCCAAACAGGAAGTGCTTATTATGGATTCCCATGAAACACCCCTTTGGCTATTCTCCTAAGAAACACAATGGTAAATGAGACCCTCCTCTCTTTAACCTGATTTGGTGGATCATCAGATTGTATAATTTTCAGAACTACACTATACTATAATTCTAAAGACATTTTTGAAAAAATTAAGGGGATATAAAATCCATATATTTGCGACAGAGGTGGGGTATTATACTTTCCCTATTTAAGAGGCAAAACAGCATGTGTTCAGTTCTTCTCTATGGTGCTGTCAAACTTCATTGTTCTGTAAACCTGGAACATTTTTATATTTATCTTTTTTGCATTCTTTGTTGATTATCCCACAAATTGTGACAATAAGATGATTTACACAACTGCTCAAATAATCTGAAAGCAGCAACAGCAGCTAATGGAGCCCTGAGAACCCAGGTGGAAAATGTCATGTGCTTCTGATTTGCTTTTGTTTTGTTTTAAAGAAAGAACATTGAATGCCTCCAAACGATTATAAGTGCTTGATGTACAAAGAACAAGATGCCTGCAATGGAACTCATCGTGAAGCCAAATGTTTTGTTTAGTCCAAGGAAAAGTGTCTCCAATATTACCACCAGAAGGAGAGACTAAGGCAGTGATGCCTGAAATACAGGATAGCATGTCCTCCTTAAAAATTTAACCTCAGTAGCCAAAAAGCAAAATAGCAACAAGATGAACTATTTTCCAGGAGTTGGATGTAGGACAAGGAAAAGACATATAACATCTTATTCTCTCCAGCAGCAAAGGTAATTCAGTTTTCCCTATTCAGGTCCCCTTCAAATGTGTGGATTTCACCTCCCATAATCCCCAGCCACAAAGGTCATATACCTGCTGGAGATTAGGGGAGTTATCACTCAGTACATCTGAAAGGCATGGAGTTGGGGATCTAAGCTAGTCCTTATTGAAGACTGGCCCTGGGTTTTTGGACAGTTTCATGGAAACGTTCCCATTAGGCTATTTTCCTTGCAGAGTCTTTTTCTTCATTTTGCAAAGTTTTGTCAGACTTTCTTTTTCCCACTACAAAAATGGGGAGGTTCTAACTGAGCCAGTTGAGCAGGAAGTCTAATAGTATTTCACCTCTTGGCTGCCAGATCTTGGAGAAAATGAAGAGAAGAAGGTGAAAAGAAGTGCAGCCCTTTCCATCAGCAGTCATGCTTCAATGATGTTCACTGAGGGCTTGTTTTTTGGAAACTGGAAGAGAGAAAAGAAATACAATGATGAATGTCAAGACATTGTGCCTTAGGACAGTCTAGCTCAGGGGTATCCAACCTCAGCAACTTTAAGACTTGCTGGGGAATTCTGGGAGTTGAAGTCCAGGTCTTAAAGTTGCCAGTGTTGGACACTCCTGAACTAGAACGTGTCTACCAAAAGTGTTACGTCAGTTGAATGCATGGCTAGAAAGAGGCCCAACTCTCATTGTTCAGGATCTCTTCTTCCAAAATAGATTGATGGGAGGATTTAGTGTAAGGGCTATATCCAGGTACCTGAATACACCTTAAAGCTAGACTCTTAGGGAGATGTCTTGAGTGTGCATAAAGAACACTCACAGAGGTCCCCTGACTTGGATCTAGCAGTCTCTGCCCCAGATGGCTGGGTCAGGCCATCCAGGGATGAAGTAGATGGCCTCTGCCAATCCAGAGTGCAACTTCCTGAATTGGGTCCCCCATCATTTAATGTTTGGCTTGGCTCTGTGCCAGGTTGTTGGCCTTCCTGCTATGGGAAACTCCAGCTCCTCCAATATCAAAGGAGGAATCAAAATGAATCAGCTCCCCCATATTAAACTTTGTAGTGAACCTTGGAACACCTGACATTTTATTTATTCATTTTTAACTGCCAAACTGAAGAGCTTTTAGTGCAGCTGATTCCTTTTATTGAGAGGGTTGCCTAGATAGAAAAATGCAGGACATTTGCACAAGATGTCCTTGTTTAGCAACTGCAATTGGGAATGTCGTAAGTATGAGGACTGGTTGTAAGTCACTTCAGTTCTGTAGTTTTTAAGTCAAATATTTCTGCAGTCTTCAAAATGCTGCTGAGCTGCAGCTGGTAGATAATGCCTATTTTGGTGAATGCACAGCCAACATGTGCTTACTTATTGTCACACCATAGGTGGATTTGTTTGTAAAAATGTACCTCCTGCTCCTATCCTCCTTCCTCAAGACTTTATAATGGGTGCTGTGGACCAGTGGTTTCTTTCTCGCAGTTACACCAGTGCCCAACCAGGCCTGCTGAACTGCTACCACTGCTTGCTGAGGCCAGAAGGCCAAAGCCCCCTTCCTCTCTCTTAGCATTGCAGAATCTGCTGCCCTGCAACCAAGGGTCTCCTGCCAGGGCCTGGCCAGGAACTGCCACGAGAGAACCCAGCAGTAGCGGGCACATCGTCCTTTCTTCATCCCCTGTGCAGCCTTTCATGGCTGGGTGGAGCAGAGAAAGCTGGTGCACAGGGCAGAGGGGAAGTTGACATAAGTCCCACTTTGGAAATGGAGTTATCGGAGGGTGGTGCTTGATGTCGCAATGACACGACATGCAATCTTGGGGCTTCAGGATTGCTGTCAATATCTCTGCTGCTGGATGATCCTTTTGAATCTAAACCATTCTGAAGGAATGGTGATAGAGAAGAGCGGGTCCTGCTGATCTCAGGGAAATCACAAAGTCCCTGATCAATCCAGGAGAAAGCTGTTTTTGCCGGCTACAAGAGAAGCAGTCAAAATGGCTGTAGAAGGTTGGAACAGTCCCCTGAAACAGAAGCAGAACAGGAGGGACTGTGTCGAAATGGTGAGAAAAGTCCTTATTAGAGAAGAGAAAACCCAAAAGACTTAGTTAAAATAAAATTGAAGAAAATGGAAGTAAGCGGCGAATTAACACTGGTTTGAAACTATCGTGTTATCTTTTTCACTTTAATTTTTTTGTTTTCTATGGATGGACTTTTTACAAATTCCTCTTACTTTTAAACTGGATTGGTCCTATTTTTCCCTTCTTCCTCTATACTTCTTCCATTTTTTGTATTTGTGGATTAAAAGTTTCTTTCCTTACAAGGCTCGGCCAGATCGTAATCTTCAAACTTTTTTTTCTTCTGTTCCAGAGTTCGGAGTTTAGAAAGAGAGGCAAAAACAGAGGGAAAGAATGTAACATTGCCATCTAGAGGCTAGAGGCTTGGTAACATCTGATAATACAAAACTATTGGCTTTGTTTACTGAAAGGGTCAGTGGCTATACAGGTGTTTCTTTGAAGGAAAGAGAAAGCTTTGACCTGAAAAACTTTACTGAATTTGTTTGAAACATCCAAAAACCTTGGATGTTTTAGTGGCTGTGTCTATAGCCTGTAAAAATGGCCCAATATGAAGAAGAAAAGGGACTAACATTGCAAAGAATTATACTAGAAATTCAAAAAGACT